TTTGTTGAAGGAATTTAACTTGTAAGGCGGGATGAAGATCAAAGAGAAAACCTGTGCTTGCTTATCTGCCCTTGGTAAAAGCCTCATCACTTGTTGTTAACAATTTTTAGGTCGTGTGACCTCAGTGGGTTGTCAATTTCCAATGGCCATGTTGAAATTAAGAACATGAAAAAGTTAATGTTATGAATGAAATTAGTGCTTTTTCCAAGGGTGTAATAGATTTCATCATCATTATTGGCGTCTATGAAATTAACATGCAATATGTCTGAAGTATCGGGAAACGGGCTGTGTCATGTGGAACCAGCGTGCATTGTTTGAAGATGATATGTAAGTGATGATCTTAAAGAAACACTGATAATTAACGAGCCACTTTGCCCATGTCTTAATGAATAGATCAAAGATAAGTCAATGATTATGAAAGTGAGTGAAAATCGTTTAGCAGCTTGAAAACATGTTAAGGAAGCCCTGACACTTACTGGCACTTGCTGCGGAATCAGCCAGGTGAAATAATATACATCAGTATGATTGACTGCAGCATAAACTTGGGTCATACAGTCAATCTGTCTCTTTGCCTTATATAAAGAATATGTCAAACTGTAGCTTCAAGATTGAATTCTGCACATATACCAACAGAATATATCCCTTGTAGTTGAATTAATAAGTAACATCATAATTAGAAGGCTTCTTGCCACATATCCTTTGTGCTAGTGTACTCTTCTACTACTAGGGGGCACGGGTGGCCCAGTCGTCTAAGGCGCCGAGATTCGCTGTGCAGAGTTGCGTCCCTTGGGCACGCCAGAAACCAATGATTGTGGGTTCGAATCCCGGTTCGCCCCCGATTATGTTTCTAGGTTTGTCTGCACCATACCCGTGCTCGTGGGTTTCAACGAAGTGGTAAACGTCTGAGACCTGCATCACTTCGGGCTTTCCTCCCACATTAAGCTGACATGCCATGATATAACTGGAATACTGTTAAAAGCGGTGTTAAACCCAACTCACTCACTCACTTCTACTACTAAGGTACATACCCATTCTACAACACAGGCCCACAATGATCTAAGATCAGAGATATAGTGAGACCCAGTCCCCTCTATCTAGCATGCCCTGAAACTTCCTCTAGGCTAACTCTATGTTCTATTCACAAGATCCAACACGTCTCTGTACAAAACCCCAGTGATCCGCAAGTTCCACTTTCCATGCTGTGTGTGGTGCACCCTTGTGTTTACAGGTAGTGTTGATCTTGGCTTCTGTAGTCTCAGCCGATACACAAGTTTCCTCGCCGCAAGACAGGGGGTAATTAAGGATCTGGCGCCAACAACACAATCAGTGCTGACAAGATGGTAACTAGAACTATCTGTGGAGGTGAGATCGTTACTGGTGTTGGGCCTCTTTGAAGTTAGGTGCAGACAGATACCAATGACTGCGAGAAGAGGGAGTCAGGAGGACGGACAGTTTGGAAGAAAAGGGCCTGATAGTACAACCTGTGCTGGAGTGGAGTTGTCTTGGGAGTTAAATTGTTCATTCCTCGCAGCTTGACAGCCTTAATTTGATAACATAATTACATGCGTACCTTGTGTCTCAGAGGACTGGCCATTTGTAAGTGTAGTGGGTTGTCGGTTGTCTTGCTGAGATTTCTCTAAGCCTGTTCGTTTCTCATAAACCAGCCGATCTCTTGCCAACCAAAGCTTAATACAATACTTTTATTTATATATTGATTATGTAGAACATTACACAATTTTATTAACTAACTGTAAAGTTTTGTTATTCTCCCAGCATCTGCAAACCAATCTCCACCGTCCCATCTTATCATAATCGATGTTGTGTTTTCATGCTACAGTGTATATTTATTAAATCACAAATCACAATCATGTCCTGTAGACCCACATATCCTGTAGACCCACATATCCTGTAGACCCACCTGTCCTGTAGACCCACATATCCTGTAGACCCACCTGTCCTGTAGACCCACATATCCTGTAGACCCACATGTCCTGTAGACCCACATATCCTGTAGACCCACATGTCCTGTAGACCCACATATCCTGTAGACCCACATATCCTGTAGACCCACCTGTCCTGTAGACCCACATATCCTGTAGACCCACATGTCCTGTAGACCCACATGTCCTGTAGACCCACATATCCTGTAGACCCACATATCCTGTAGACCCACATATCCTGTAGACCCACATATCCTGTAGACCCACATGTCCTGTAGACCCACATATCCTGTAGACCCACATGTCCTGTAGACCCACCTGTCCTGTAGACCCACATGTCCTGTAGACCCACATGTCCTGTAGACCCACATATCCTGTAGACCCACATGTCCTGTAGACCCACATGTCCTGTAGACCCACATGTCCTGTAGACCCACATATCCTGTAGACCCACCTGTCCTGTAGACCCACATATCCTGTAGACCCACATGTCCTGTAGACCCACATGTCCTGTAGACCCACATATCCTGTAGACCCACATATCCTGTAGACCCACATATCCTGTAGACCCACCTGTCCTGTAGACCCACCTGTCCTGTAGACCCACATGTCCTGTAGACCCACATATCCTGTAGACCCACATGTGCCTGAAGACCCACGTGTTCTGTAGACCCACATATCCTGTAGACCCACATATCCTGTAGACCCACATGTGCCTGAAGACCCACGTGTTCTGTAGACCCACCTGTCCTGTAGACCCACATATCCTGTAGACCCACATATCCTGTAGACCACATGTCCTGTAGACCCACAGGTCCTGTAGACCCACATGTCCTGTAGACCAACCTGTCCTGTAGACCCACATGTCCTGTAGACCCACGTGTCCTGTAGACCCACCTGTCCTGTAGACCACATATCCTGTAGACCCACGTGTCCTGTAGACCCACCTGTCCTGTAGACCCACCTGTCCTGTAGACCACATATCCTGTAGACCCACATATCCTGTAGACCCACCTGTCCTGTAGACCCACATATCCTGTAGACCCACATGTCCTGTAGACCCACCTGTCCTGTAGACCCACCTGTCCTGTAGACCCACGTGTCCTGTAGACCCACCTGTCCTGTAGACCACATATCCTGTAGACCCACGTGTCCTGTAGACCCACATATCCTGTAGACCCACATATCCTGTAGACCCACATGTCCTGTAGACCCACGTGTCCTGTAGACCCACCTGTCCTGTAGACCCACGTGTCCTGTAGACCCACCTGTCCTGTAGACCACATATCCTGTAGACCCACATGTCCTGTAGACCCACATATCCTGTAGACCACGTGTCCTGTAGACCCACCTGTCCTGTAGACCCACCTGTCCTGTAGACCACATATCCTGTAGACCCACATGTCCTGTAGACCCACGTGTCCTGTAGACCCACCTGTCCTGTAGACCACATATCCTGTAGACCCACGTGTCCTGTAGACCCACCTGTCCTGTAGACCACATATCCTGTAGACCCACATGTCCTCTAGACCCACATGTCCTGTAGACCCACCTGTCCTGTAGACCCACCTGTCCTGTAGACCCACATGTCCTGTAGACCCACATGTCCTGTAGACCACATATCCTGTAGACCCACGTGTCCTGTAGACCCACCTGTCCTGTAGACCACATATCCTGTAGACCCACGTGTCCTGTAGACCCACCTGTCCTGTAGACCACATATCCTGTAGACCCACATATCCTGTAGACCCACCTGTCCTGTAGACCCACATATCCTGTAGACCCACATGTCCTATATGCCCCATCTGCCCGTGTAGTGGTAGATCATCCGCCCGGAGAGCGGAAGGTCGGGGGATTGATACCATGCTGCTTCATACCAAAAGACGGTAAAAGATGTTACTTGTTGCTATCCTGCCTGGCGCTCGCATTAAGGGGCTAAAACAAGGACTTGTCAGCTCGGAATCAGTATACTGTTTCTGAGTGGGGGATTCATGTTAAACTGCAGCATGGAATCTCAGTGAGGTAGCACTATAAATCAGTATCACACACACCCACACATCTTCTAGACCAACATGTCCTGTAGGCGCATGTGTCCTGAAGACCCACGTGTCCTGAAGACCCACGTGTCCTGAAGACCCACATGTCCTGAAGACCCACGTGTCCTGTAGACCCACATGTCCTGAAGACCCACATGTCCTCTAGACCCACATGTCCTGAAGACCCACATGTCCTGAAGACCCACATGTCCTGAAGACCCACATGTCCTGAAGACCCACGTGTCCTGTAGACCCACATGTCCTGAAGACCCACATGTCCTGAAGACCCACGTGTCCTGTAGACCCACATGTCCTGAAGACCCACATGTCCTCTAGACCCACATGTCCTGAAGACCCACGTGTCCTGTAGACCCACATGTCCTGTAGACCCACATATCCTGTAGACCCACATGTCCTGAAGACCCACGTGTCCTGTAGACCCACGTGTCCTGTAGACCCACATGTCCTCTAGACCCACATGTCCTGAAGACCCACGTGTCCTGTAGACCCACATGTCCTGTAGACCCACATATCCTGTAGACCCACATATCCTGTAGACCCACGTGTCCTGTAGACCCACCTGTCCTGTAGACCCACATATCCTGTAGACCCACGTGTCCTGTAGACCCACGTGTCTTCTAGACCCCCATGTCCTCTAGACCCCCGTGTCTTCTAGACCCCCATGTCCTGTAGACCCACAGGTCCTGTAGACCCACATGTCCTGAAGACCCACATATCCTGTAGACCCCCATGTCCTGTAGACCCCCATGTCCTGTAGACCCACATGTCCTGTAGACCCACCTGTCCTGTAGACCCACATGTCCTGAAGACCCACATATCCTGTAGACCCCCATGTCCTGTAGACCCCCATGTCCTGTAGACCCCCATGTCCTGTAGACCCACATGTCCTGTAGACCCACATGTCCTGAAGACCACATGTCCTGTAGACCACATGTCCTGTAGACCCCAATGTCCTGTAGACCTACATGTCCTCCAGTCTACAATTGGTGTCCAGTAGACCTACCTGCTCCTCCAGATGGTGCTGCATGGCCCGTAGCCGTTTGTCCTTCTCTTGTAGCTCTCTCTCCAGGTCCTGCACCCTCTTCTCCAGGTCACAGGGCTTCCAGTTCATGGCCGCCAGCTGCTGCTCCATCACCTCAAGCTGGAACACAGAGTGAGTGAGTGAGTGAGTGAGTATGGTTTTACGCCACTTTTAGCAATATTCCAGCAATATCACGGCAGGGGACACCAGAAATGGGCTTCACACATTGTACCCATGTCAGGAATCGAACCCTGGTCTTCGGCGTGACGAGCCAACGCTTTAACCACTGGGCTACCCGACTGCCCCCTTGGAACACAGAGCCATGTATTAGCGTGATGCTGTAGTGTTACATGGCACAGAGCATTTAGTGTTCATTGTGGTCATGTCATGGGTCTATATGTAGGCCACATTAAAGAAAATCATATCAATACCATACAAAGGCCATCACCGCCTATTTTTGCAATTTATGGAGATATAGCTTCTATTCATATAAATAAATATGTCAACAAATATAACCTCACAGACCGCTTATTTAATCATTAACACTCACAAAACTGTAGACAACAAAACAAATCACCGTCATCATTCAGCACAATGATGCAAAACAACCACCGTCTATTCAGCCAATCAGCAAATAGTTTGTTAGTGGGAGTGTCCCAATATATTTTTGGTTTATGGAACAAATTTTTTGCGGTTAGCCAATCAAATGCCACGGAATCACTTGCAATGTAATTACCAAGTGTTAATCTTCCCTGCACGTAGCCCATTGAGGTGCTACAAATTTCCAATCTTGGCAACTATTCCACTAATTATTTGCCGCGTATATCAAGCAGGAGGGACAAAGGACCCATTCTTCCCTGGAATCTCCCCTGGGGAAGTGTAGATGGGGAAGGAAGGCCAAGTATGAGCCATCAATAGAGTTTTATCTATGATGTAGTACTACAGCTGGGAAGTGTAGATGAGGGAGAACGCATGAGTATGAGCTGGTCAATAGGTTTTCATGTATGATGTAGTACGCACAGCGAGATCACAGGGCCAGGTCACTGGATCAGACAAACCGGAGTCGGACAACGGGCACATCAATCCCTGTCATCAGGGTGTGCACGGGTTTCAACACTGTCAGCGTATCTATCATTACTATTTACAGGATTGGATTGGTCAGTCTCTGTCTTGGAAAACTCCATACAAGTTGGTTGGCCAACCACTGAAAATATATGATTTGTTTGTTTGTTTATTGTTTAACGCCGCACTCAGAAATATTTCAGCTATATGACGGCAGTCTGTAAATAATTGAGTCTGGCCATGACAACCAGTGATTGACATCATGAGCATTGATCCATGTTATTGGGATCAATGCATCAACCAAGTCAGCGAACCTGACCACCTGATCCTGTTAGTTGCCTGTTATGACAAGCATAGTTGCCTCTTACGGCAAGCATAGTTGCCTCTTACGGCAAGCATGGGTTGCCAAAGACCAGTTTGTGGAAAGGAGTCATCATCTGATCAAGGCTTCTTAAAACAATGAACAATCTGTTTATTTGTAGAATTCTCATTAATGTTTCCATGTGAAACTAATCCTACAGAATCCTGATCATGACTGACGGGGGGGATCATCCCACAGGAGTGTCGGACCCCCCACCCACCCCCCTCCTCCAACTCTATTGTGTATTACATGTGACAGCTACCAGTTGGGATGACACTGATTGACAGATAAGTGGAGGCATCTCACGCAGTGATTGACATTTCACACAGGATATACATCAATAGAAAATACCACACTGACAATTGTTTAACCTAAATATTAATACTGATATGCCAGTGGCCCAGCAAGTGATGTCCTCACAATTAGTGCTGTTTCTTTATCATCGTATCTTACCAACTTGAAACACACTTCAAACAAGTTCATGGAGTAAATTCTTTACTTCTGCTTGGATAAAAGTAGAATCTAAAATCTTGTAAATCACGTTAGAATTTTGTGTAGGATTTGTTTGTTTGTTTGTTTATTTGTTGTTTAACGCCACACTCAGCAACATTCCAGCAATTTGACAGCATCCTGTAAATAATGGAGTCTGGACCAGACAAACCAGTGGTTGACATTATGAGCAATAGTGAGTGAGTGAGTATGGTTTTAACAATATCCCAGCAATATCACGGTGGGGGACACCAGAAATGGGCTTCACATATTGTACCCATGTCGGGAATCGAACCCGGGTCTTCGGCGTGGCGAACGCTTTAACCACTAGGCTACCTGACCGCCCCTTATGAGCAATAATCCACACAGTAGGGGTAATATGACACACAATCACCATGATCAACTCATCCTTTACGTTGACTCTTACAACCAGCAAAGGATCCTTGGGAAGTTCTAATCTGGAAGTCCCCATGAGGGGAATTTTACCTATGCTTCATGCTTGTATACAATACCTGTAAGCAATGAATAGTTTCACACTGTTCTTTAAGGGAACCACTCTCAGAAAAGTTGGTATTCCCAGTAAGTTGGCTTTTTCATGTTTTTTCATGCATTGTAGCATAAAAGTTCAGGATTTAATTTTAAATTTTGTTTTGTTTTGTTATGTAATGCCACACTTAGCACTATCAGCTATATGAATGCACTCTGTATATCATCTAGTCTGTACCAGGAGTTGTCATCATGATCATTAATCCAGGCAAATGGGAAACGACAACAATGAACTTACTTCACTGTATTAAACACACTCAAAAAAGAAATATACTCTTTGGAAAATTATCCAGACAAAATGTAAATGTCCACAGTCATGAAGACAAATTATTTCACTACATCCTGTCAAATAATGAAGCAGTCAATATCAACTGCATTTGTTTCCATATCTATCATTTCAAACAATAAATACCCCTTCATAATCAACCGTTGACATTTTATGTATAATAATATAACCAAATATGTAATAATGATTGTTTTGTTTTTGTATGTGTCTACAGGAATGTAAATTATGTATGTCTGTATATATGTATATATGAATCATAATGTATTGTCTTTTAAAATTGCATCTGTCCCGTAATGGAACGTTTCTGCAATAAATATTATCTTATCTTATCTTATCTTATCAACCAAGTCACCAAGCCTGACCACCCGATCCATTTAGTTGCCTCTTACAACACGCATAGGTTGCTGGGGACCTATTCTCTTACCCAGAACTCTTCAAGACCGAGGGGAGCCCTGTAATTCTCCTGTATCCTATAACAACATGTTCTTAACACAAGTCTTTTGGAAAATATGTCTGCTAACACTTTCACACTCATTTTAAATTCTGTGGAAAATAAATATTTTCATTTTTAACAACAGATTCAAAATAGCACTTTAGCCAATGAATAATGATGCCGCAAGGTGAAAGTATCCCAGAAACAACCATGGCTATTCTACATTCACTGAAACCTGAAACTGGGTGCACAACAGGTTAATATCCTCATAACAGCTGATCTATCATTAGTTGTCCGTTTAATATCATCTCTGAGGCTGTAACTAGTTGTGTGACATATTGCATGTGGTGCCACATCTGGGTTGTGGAGGTAATGCATTAGCAACACTATACGCATCGTACACACCAGTTGGGGTTTGCTTGGTCTGTGGCACCAGTACCAGGATGTAATCATTACACTGTCTAACCCTACGAGTTCAATTAATTCAATAAGAGACTGGAATTAAATATACTACTCAAATGAAGTTAAAGAAAACTCAATCTTTTCATATGTATATAGTTAATCCGTCATGGCCAAGACATCCACAGATTAACTGTAGTCCTACGGAAAAAAATCAGTTGTTGTTTACCTTCTATTGAGATGATAGATTAATTGTAGTCATTGAATGTTTCATAAAAAACTTGTCCTTACCTTCTTTTGAGTAGTATATATAAATTGGATATGAAGGAAATTAACCCTGCCCAGATGACATACAATAGTCATCTAAACAGAATGAGAAAAACGAAAACATTTTTGGGAATTTTTTCCAGTGTCTCTTCTTTGGTATTTAAGGGGCGGTCGGGTAGCCTAGTGGTTAAAGCGTTCGCTCGTCACGCCGAAGACCCGGGTTTGATTCCCGACATGGGTACAATGTGTGAAGCCAATTTCTGGTGTCCCCCGCCGTGATATTGCTGGAATATTGCTAAAAGCGGCGTAAAACCATATTCACTCACTCACTCACTCTTTGGTATTTAAATGCTGCAATGCACTTTAGTGATTGCCTTTCTTCAACAGTGAGCTTGTGTTAGATTGATTGTTCTTTTGTAGTGGGATAGCCTAGTGGTTAAGTGTATCCAGCTCTGAGTTCAGTTCTCCACAGTGGATAATGTCCCTATCATGACACTGCAGGAATAATGCTGAAAGGGTGTACTCACCCACCCAGCCACACGCGCTCATTCACTTGCTCACTAACTCACTCCCACACTCACTCACTCACTCACTCATTCACTTGCTCACTTACTCACTCACTCATTCACTTGCTCACTCACTCACTCACTCATTCACTTGCTCGCTAAATCACTCGCTAAATCACTCACTCATTCACTTGCTCACTAACTCAATCACTAACTTGCTAACTCACTCACTCACTTAATCACTAACTTGCTAACTCACTCACTCACATACTCACTCACTCACTCTGGGCATCAATGAACCACTATTACACATCTCTCAAAAATCATTCCATCACATTTATATATTGAATGATAAATTCTTTGGTTAACATAAATGCAAGAAGCCATTTAGTGACAGACCTATTGGTCAAAGTTCTAGTTTGTTTGTTTGTTGTTTTACGCCACACTCAGCAATATTCCAGCTATATGACAGCGGTCTGTACATAATCGAGTCTGGACCAGACAATCCAGTGATTGATAACATGAGCATCAATCCACGCAATTGGCATTGATGACATGCATCAACCAAGTCTGCGAGCCTGACCACCCGATCCGTTAGTCGCCTCTTACGACAAGCATAGTCGCCTTTTACGGCAAGCATGGGTTGCTGAAGGGCCCATTCTACCCCAGACCTTCACAGGCCCAAAGTTCTAGTAGTCAAATGAAATGACATTGTATTGGTAACCACAGCATTCCCCATATATACTGAACAAAAAAGTTAGGTATCAGGAA